ATAATTTGAGGACCATACAGCTAAAATTTAAAATTAGATTCCTCTTGAAATTTAATAATTTTAGCTGATCCTCTTGTAATTAAAAAGCGTTTATTTTCCTGAATTTTCATTGGCAATGGCTTTTTAAAGACTCTTTGACATACTGACTTAAAATCAAATACATTTCAGTCTATTACAACATTTTTTGCAGCTCCTTGAGTACTGTAAACATTATAGTACTCTTCTGAAGAATGTAATTTTTCAATTTTCATAAACTTTTTTTCTAAAGTTCCAAATACATGGACATATGGTAAACAATTTCTCAAAAAGGAAACAAAAGTTTAATAGTTTTTACTAATACTGGTGCATGTCTTATCAGCCAGAAACCTGCCATGTAAATTAAAGTGCTTTTTTTTATTTTGACCACCACAAACATCAGAAACTAAGCAAACAGTGTCTATGCCATCCATGTTTGTACTGCAAAGCTTGTCAAACATTGTGCTGGAGCAGGAAGAACTATTTTTTTTTTGAAGTCATTCCAAGTAAAGATAATGACTCATTCCAAGTATAGATTATGATATTATCTTTGTTTAAACATCCACTATTTTTATTTTCTACAACACAAAAGTTATATATGTACAGTTGTCTACTGTAATAAGCTTGCTGATCTGGAACTTTAGGGATGAATTGATTTTGCTGATGGACAAAACAAATAATGTTATAGCCATCTCTTTGTTCCTTCAGAAGATCATAGAATGCATTTGCTCTTCGTTTGTGAACAGCTAAATCAGTTATCAAACTGTTCTTTCTTTCTAAATCATTTTCACACTTTATTTGGTTTCAAATTTACTTGCAAAATGAACATACATCTCATTTAGAAGAGACAAACCCTAAATTAAAGTTAAGTATAAAAATTTTTTGGAAAAATTCATATTACTGGTAAATTAGGTTGCTTCTCTGTGTACATTTTCCAAATATTTTTAATGTTTTTTAGCTCTGATGAAAGACACAGTTTTCTAGATTTGTTTCTGCTGTAACAGCTCTCCCTTCCAGGAAGAATCTTTCAGATCTAATACACAGTACGTGCGTGTATGTGTGTGTGTGTGTGTGTGTGTGTGTGTGTGTGTGTGTGTGTGTGTGTGTGTGTGTGTGTGTGTGTGTGTGTGTGTGTGTGTGTGTGTGTGGAGGAAGGTATCTTATTAAAGGGTGGGTCAGAATTATTTACAAATAAAACAATTTTAATTCTAATGTGGTTTGTGGTCAAATGCGCATTTTTTAACAGCTGTTTCATCATAATTTTAATAGAATTTAATATGCTAGTATAAGTTCTATACTATGGTGAGAAATAAGCAAAAATCTAATATTTGACAAATTGCAGTTTTTTTAAAGGTCAGTTTTACTTGAAACAGAAAAAAAAGTTATTTTTCAACTTTGAATCATTTTCAGGAGGCAGATTTTTTTTTTCATTTATTTGTAATGTTGTAGGCTGAATTGGCATGTAAAATTTAATAAAAAACTCTAGTAAAACTACAAATATTTGGACTAAACATAGTTTAGTCCAAATATAATGTTTTTTTATTAAGTTTAATGGTACATTACAGTGCTGAATTGTTTGAAAGAATTTAACTTATTTTAAAGCGCCACCTATAAAATGGTTGTCATTTGAACATGAAAAATTTCATTCATGAAAAACTAAATCAAAAATTTAAATCATTCTCAAATTTCTTTAATGGAACTGAAAATAAAAATAAAATCAACCAATCTAATGCATAAGTCTTCATTATAAAGAAAGTAAACAAGACAAAAATGAAACATAAATATTTCATAAAATAAACAATTAAATTCAAATTATAAATAAAAACTGAAAATGCCATCTTTTGAGTGTTTACCAGTATCCAAGATATGTTATAACTTAAAACCGGTGTTATAGTAGATCTGTTGTACATTAGCTTTCTTGGAAAAGACTTCTTCGTTTTTTAAATTCCCAAACTTCATCAGAATTTTGGTTGAAAATTAATAAAAGCCAACCTCTTTAAATAATTGGAGTTCAGTTCTCTAGATATTTTTATTGTATAAATATCACAATGTTTCTTATTTAGGTAAATTACTTATTTAGTTATATATAAGTTATAAAGTTTAAATTATAGTTGTTTTTATAAATTTAATGAGTATTATTCTATAAAATTTCAATAAATTAATTAACTCATAGACTCTCAGGTGATTATTACAAGGTGGGGTGCAAATAAAAAAGGGAATTTTTGATGCGGTGCAAATAAAAGGGGAAATTTTTGTCCAGATCTAATAAATAGGAAGTTTTAATAAAAGTTTGGATTGGGAATTTCTCCTCAAATGTAATAAACAAGGGATAACAAGAGGATAGAAGGTGATAAGATTTTTTCTCCAAATGTAATAAGCAGGAGTTTCTTTAAATAAGGGCCGCTTAAAATAAATTTTAAATAAGGTTTTAAGTAATACTTTTAAATAAGGGTTTCTTTAAATAAGGGAAGAGAGGGAAAAATAAAATCATAATGAACAGATTCTGAGATTCTTCAGACCAAAAACCTAATCCTTTATTTGGATTGGAACTTGATGAACATAAATGAAAGAAATTCACACGTAAGCTTGATAAGAGCATGGACTTTCGGGGAAACTCTTAGACCAAGTTTGACAAAGGCCTCCTTGTACTTGTTAATAGTTTATTTATATTCAGGTAACAAATCAGAACCAAGACATGCAGCTTTAACCACTTTTGAACATTTAAAGAAATTATAGAAATAATATGTTCATCTTTTTCTAGTTTTGAAGGTTTTATTAATTTTTTTTAAAACGTGAGCATTTTCAGAAATTTTGAACATTCCCCACCTTTTAATTAACCACCATGCAGCTTCGGCCTTTTAAAACCTAAACTTTGGTTCCAATGATTCGCCGATAAAGTGGTATCTATCAATTGAAAATATTTTTCAAGGCAGTTCTAAATTCTGTTTGTATTTTCAATAAGTAGATAAAGTTCCATTGGAGCAAGAATTTCAATAACCTTTATGTCATCAGGTACATCAACTAGTGGACAGTTGACACAATTATTATAAAATGCAGTTGAAAGCTTGGATTATTTTTTTAATATCTTTACAGGAAGTTTTGTAAGCATTAGCTGATGAACGGATACTTCCCAGAGTTCTGAGCTCACTGTGAATTTGAAAATCTTGCATATAAACTGGGCATTTTCATATCAAAAGCGCAAAATTAATATAATTCATTTAGTTTAAAAATTTTGAGAATTTTTTCAAGATTCGAATGAGATTCAGCCACATTTTCTACCAAACCAATAATAAACAATTTATTTACGCCTCTGACTTAGTATTTTTCATTGTCTATTCCTTCTTCATAGCTATACTTTATTCTTTATATTTTACTTTCTGCTGCTTATTCAATAATATTTAATTAAAGTTTTAGAACTCTGCCTCTAACGTCAATTCCAACCATTAAAATATAATCCTTTGATAATTTCTCTCTGTTATTACTCTCTCAACAAGTCCTTTAATGTTTTTACAATAAACCAGTTGTCTAGAATCTTTTTCAAATTTGGTTTCTGTTATATCATAATATTGATTTAATAACCCATCTTCACTTAATTTTTCTCTTCAAATATGTCTCTTCCTTTCCAGCTTCTAAATATGTTAAGTACTTTGGCTCCCTGTTTATTACTAAGTCTACAAGTGTTTTTAAATTTATTAATTTCTGTAATAGGGATTTTTTTTAACTGGTAAAAACGCTTTAGCTGAACTTTTCGATTGTTCATGGGCAAGTACTTTACCTTTAGCTGCAACCTTGATTTTAGTTCCATCCTCCAAAAATTTTCTTTTCAGTACTTTTGAGCATTAAAGTTCCGCACCTCATGTATCTTAAAATAAAAAAATCAAGGTTTTTAGTTTTTATAGTTCAGATTATTTACATAAAGTTCTAAATTTTGAGTTTGAAATATTATATCAACAGTATAAAGTTAACCTCACCTTTGTTCAGTTCCTCTGTTAACTTTTCTTTTCTCTTTGTGAGAGTGCAAGGGTGAAATAATCCTGGTCCAATAATAGTCTTGCACCTATTGCATATTTTTATTGGTCCAGGTGATGATATATTTACTCTACCCAGCTTGATTCTTCTTCTGTTATCAGATGTTGATCCTAGAGTAATTGCAGTTCATGCAATTTCACAGATATCACGAACACAGAATAATTGATTTCTAGTGAGTATGCTAATTTTGACTTTTGAGAATTCATGCGGTTCGCTCAGAGTAATGTTTTAATCTCCTTTTTCCAGTCTTTCTAATGCTTTTCTACATTTAGTACAAATACCATTAGGAAAATGCTCATTGCTAAAATCAAAGGATTTTAAAAAGTACTTAAATATTCTATTCAATGTCACAGTTTTTTCTTTAACTTCTATCATTCCTAATCCTTTTGAAAAACAAATTTATGTGTAAAATTGTTTTTTAGTAAGAAAATATTTAAACGTTAAAAAGTTATAACCTTGTAAAGTTGATATCCCCCCAAATAGAGTTGATTGTAAACTTTACTAAAAATTTTTTAAAAAGATGTCAACAGAATACTTTCAAAATTTAGATTATTATAGTAGAATGTTTTGTCGTTTCAAAAATGCAAACTGTTTCTGGTGGACAAATTTTTTTTCAAATAAATTATTTTTGCTACGGTGTAAGTTATGATAAAATATAACTCTAGGGTTATTTTTTTAAAAATCAGTTTCCTGTATAAAACAATAACAGTGATGATTCCAAGATATCCAGGATCACAAACAATTAGAAATATTTTTCTGATTTGATTTCGTTTTTTTACATAACTTAAAAATCTTTCAAAGCAACATTCTATAAAGTTTTTTTTTTTACTGTTGATCTTTAGTTTATTTTGACTAGTTAAAACTTAATAATGTTTAAAAAACAACATTTTTTGAAATGGTTTGATTTTTCTTATATTACTGGTTTATTGATTTTGTTTTATTGGTGTTATTTTTAGAAATGCAGCATTTTTTAGCCAATAGAAAAAAAGTTGAAGATAATTTTTGTTATGTAAGTTTTCCTTACATCTTTGTTTGCTGTTTATATTTCTAGTGCATCCATAGTGACCACTTATCCAAAATGATTTAAACAAGCTTTAAATTATGTAATTTAACGGAAAGAATCAAATTAAAAAATAATTAGATATAAAGAAAAGTTTCTAGATATTGGTTTACTAACTCTAATTATTTTTGCCTAAGTTGCCATTCTTAAAACTCGTTATACTTTTTTCTGCTTTAAATACTAATTAAAATTAAAAAGCCCACTCACTAAACATCATCAGCGATATTGTGAAGCAGTTTCGCTTCCTGGTCATTAAGTATTTTTAACCTTTTTAGTTGATTTCTATCTTGATAATTTAATTTCTATAGTAATTCAATGATTTAATTATTTCATTTGTTTATCTTACTAAGAAGAGTCGCTTCAAATATGTTAAACTTTTCAAACTATGCGAAACATAAAATAGGTATTAAAAAAATAAACTTTTTTATTTATAAAATAAATTAAAATAAAAAGTAAAACTAAAACTTGCAAACTTAGTTAAATAAAGAATATTTGTTTTCCTTTTAAACAATCGTAAGTTGTTACTTCGCTTAATTTTATAAAAACATCGCTTAATTTTATAAAAAAAATTATATAAAAGCAATGTTTCGAAAATATTTGTTCTAAATGTACTTTATTAAGCTTAAAGTTTTTTTGCGTTTAAAGATATTTTATTTGCCTACTTTTTTTTTTTTTGTAATTGTCTTTCATCGGTCTAATTAATCTTTGTCGCTTTTTTTTTTTTGCTTTTTAAAATGTTCTCAAAATGACTAAAAAATCTGGCCAGCTTTTCGCAATTAAATATTATTTATGTGGTCAGCAATCAAGAGCAATCGCTCCCGCTTCCCAACCAAGCCTTATATATATATATATATATATATATATATATATATATATATATATATATATATATATATATATATATATATATATATATATATATATATATATATATATATATATATATGTATATATATAAGTTTAATTTTGCTGTGAGCATTATTCAGCAATAGTGCTCGATGAATGATATCAGAGCTATATAATTGTTTTTTTTGACGAGGTTATTAAAAAAATAACTACATAATTACTAAAATTATGTAGTTATTTTTTATTTAACCTCGTCAAAAAAAAAAACAATTATATATATATATATATATATATATATATATATATATATATATATATATATATATATATATATATATATATATATATATATATATATATATATATATATATATATATATATATATATATATATATATATATATATATATATATATATGTATATATAAATATTTATATTTATATATATCAACATTTCACATTATATCTACGTTGTACATCTAGTATTACTCCCTTTTTTCCGTTCTTTAGGTTTTAAATAAAAATATTTTTACATAATCATTAAAACCAATTGGTATTCCTTTTATACTTATATAAGTGATTTTTAAAACTTTCCTAATCAATACTAAAGACAATATGGCGCCCCACTGGTTTACATTGTTTATTTTATAATTTATAAAATAATGCTGTTTTACTTCAAAAATATTAGAAGCCTCAACAATAGACACTTTTTTATAACTTAATTTTCGCCTATTGCCTCTTGAAGATTAGAATTTAAGTAATTGGATTTAGTACAATCTTTTCTTGTGCCTGGATAAGTTCTCAAACATTTTGTTGACATTTTTGAATGCTTGATAATTGTTATTGTTAATAAAAATTAGTTTATTAATAGCATATAGACAAAAATTATAAAAATAGCCATAAATATTAAAAATCAAAATATCAAAGTATGTTAACAATTATAGTATTTTAACAATAGTTATTTTAATTAGGCTACTACAATAAAAAAATATCTTTTTGTTAATATTGCAATGTTACCCAGACATCAAGAAAAACAGTTTTTGGGTAAAATTTAGTATTCAAAGTTTCCCAAATTTTGGTTATATTTCAGCTGAGTGGAAATATAGCCTTTTTGTAGCAAAGAACATGTAGTTTCATATTATTTTAAGTTTATGTTAAAATTCCACAAATGTGTCAATAAAATACAAAAATATTTTTACCTTATATTATACCTGATACAATATAATACAAAATATTCTTAACTGAAAACACGCATTGTTATCACCATAGTGATAACATCACCATTTTTGACTGTGTCACTGGAATAGGACTAAAACATTATTTTTGACAAATAAAATTCATTTAACTATAGTAAAACTTCTGTCAAAAAAAAGTGATTCATATTCTCATTGGCTGAAGAACAGGCAAAAAAGTTACCAAAGTGAAAAAATTTAAAAACAAATTTTTGTTTAATGTTATTTTATTCAATGTTATCTGCAAAGTCAATGTTACCCAGAATGACTGTATGAAAAAGTTTATTATTTTACCCTTCCACACATCTTACTAAAAGCATAATCAGCTTTTAAAAATTCTTTTTTGATAGAAAATAACACCCAAAATACCCTAATCAGTTTACATTTGTAATTTAAAAATAATTACATCATTTTCCTTAGTTTTATTCATAGAATTTTTTATCTATACCAATATTTGATGTAAAATATATATATATAATATATATATATTATATATATATATATATATATATATATATATATATATATATATATATATATATATATATATATATATATATATATATATATATATATATATATATATATATATATATATATATATATATATATATATATATATATATATATATATATATATATTATATATATATATATTATATATATATATATATATTATATATATATATATATATTATATATATATATATATATTATATATATATATATATATTATATATATATATATATACAGGGGTGGGACCGCAAAATGTGAACGTTTTTGTTTTATTATAACTATTTTCTCGTTAGATGTAGTTGAGTTTATTTGATAAAAAACGAAAGACAAAGTACTAATGAATATGTAAACAAAGTCGCAACACTTATAAACATGCCGTCTTCAAAATATAAATTAATTCCAAAAAGCCGTATAATTTCAATCATCATGGATAAAATTAGTTACAGACGAATCAAAACCATATTAAACAAAGAAGGAATCGATGTATCAATTGGTTATATAAGTAAGTTAAAGAATGAGATTACTTTAGACCACCAAAAAATTGCAAATGATCAAATAAAGAAGAAACGCCACGTGCCGCCATTAAAGCTCTCAAGTACTCAAATTCAAAAACTCAAAAGATTGGTTTTAAAAGACTCATGCCCATCAATTTCACATCTTGCACGATTGTTTGGTGTGTGCAGAAGAACAATTAACAACTATATCAAAAAAAGATTCAAATTACACAAATTCAAAAAGCAAAAAGTTCATGATTTGTCTCCGGCTGCTAAAGAAAAGAGGTTTCAAAGATCTGCTCGTTTATCAAATTTTATAAAGAGAAATTGGCGAAAAATAATAACAACAGACGAGAAACTATTCCACATTTTAAATTGTAATCAAGAAAATGATTATTATTATAGTAGAGATAGAAAAAACATTCACAAAAAGTTTAAAACAAGACCTAAAAGTTTTTCGAAGGCAATAATGGTATGGGGCGGAATTTGTTATAATGGAACCACAAAACTTAAATTTGTTAAACAAGGTGTTAAAATTAATGCAGATTTTTATATTGATAACATTTTAAAACCATTTTTCAGTGAAGATTGCAAGCGTTTATATCCTAAAAAAGATTTCATATTCCAACAAGACTCGGCGCCGAGCCATACATCTAAAAAGACAATTTCATTTTTAAACAACAATAGAATCAAATTCATTCCACCTGAAATGTGGACACCATTTAGTCCAGATAACGCTTCAATGGACTTTTGTATTTGGGGATATATGCTTGAAAAGTTAAAAGATCGAAAAGTAAAGACAATCGACGGCTTGAAACGCCACATTATTGACATATGGAAGAACATCCCTCTCTCACTCATCAGAAAGTGTCTAAAGAGTTGGTCTAAACGTTGTAAAATGATCTACGAGAATCAAGGAGGTCAAATTGAACATTTAAAATAGTTCATATTTAACAGAAAATTAATTATTACAATCAGAAAAGTGTTCACATTTTGCGGTCCCACCCCTGTATATATATATATTTATTATATATATATATATATATATATATATATATATATATATATATATATATATATATATATATATATATATATATATATATATATATATATATATATATATATATATATATATATATATATATATATATATATATATATATAGACTTGGTTGGGAAGCGGGAGCAATTGCTCTCGAATACTGACCACGGAAATAATATTTAGTTGCAAAAAACTGGCCAGGTTTTTTAGTCATTTAAGTTTATGTACATAACAAAAAAATTTTGTTTTATGGACATACATGGTAACATAATAAACTTGAATGTTCTCAAAAAATCTTGTTGCGGAAGAATAAAAAGAATATTCACGAACACTAAAAACCCGCCAAAATAATGAACTAATTCTATTGATTCCAAAAATACGCTGACTAAGCAAAATAAAGTACTAGAGTATTTTGTTAAAATGTTTTGGAAATTGTATTATTCACGATTTTTTAGGTTATGAGATTTCTAGCATAGATTGTTTTAAGAATATTTTTTCAATACTATGGCTCATTTTTGGAGCCACATCTGCAAAGTTGTATATCTTTTAAACTATTATTATTTGTTTACAAAAATATATGTTTTATAATATATATTTTTTAAATTGTCAAAATTTGAAAGTTTATTATAAATTATAGATTTTATTAGTATATTCTTATTTTTTATTTAAAAAGTATGTATTTTTTATATAAATGTTACAAAAATAATTGCGTTTTCAATGAAGTTATTAATAATCATTAAAGTTAATAAAACTAATTATGTGACAAGCATATAAGAAGTTTCTGGTTACTAAACACAAATAATGCATACAAAGTTACTCGCGGATGAACATGCACCACGCCTGAGGTCATGACAGAATACAAATAAATATAGCAAGTTATTAGATATACAGAAAAGTTTCTAGATGTTGGTTTACTAACTCTAATTATATTTGCTTCAGTTGCCATTCTTAAAAACTCGTTATATTTTTTTCTGCTTTAAATACTAATTAAAATTAAAAAGCCCACTCACTAAACATCATCAGCGATATTGTGAAGCAGTTTCGCTTCCACGTCATTATGTATTTTTAACCTTTTTAGTTGATTTCTATCTTGATAATTTAATTTCTATAGTAATTCAATGATTTAATTATTTTATTTGTTCATCTTACTAAGAAGAATTGTTTCAAAAATGTGGAACTTTTCAAACTACGCGAAGTATAAAATAAGTATTATAAAAATTAACTTTTTTATCTATAAAATAGTTTAGCTTAGATAAAACTAAAACTTGCATTAGTTTTATTAGAATCTTGTTAGACTTTTCGGGGCAGTAGGCTATTTTTTTTGAATGCCTTTGTATGTGCCACGGCATAAAAATGACTAAATGAAAAGGTCTTCTTGACTATTTTGGACCCTAACATTGAAGGGCCCGGGGCTATAGTCCCCTCTAAACCCAACCCTCCTTAATCTACCACTGGACTTAAGACACGAGTATATAAATAAAAATTATATTACACTCTTTGTTAAATAAAGAAGGTTTGTTTCCTTTTTAAACAATCGTAAGATGTTACTTAATATAAAAACGTCGCTTAATTTTATTTAAAAAAATTATAAAAGACGATGTTTCGAAAATATTTGTTCTAAACGTAATTTATTTTGCTTTAATTTCTTTCGCATTAAAAGATATTTTATTTTCCTTTTTTTTTTTTTTTTGTTATTGTCTCTCATCCAATTTATTTTTAAGGCATTTTTTTTTATTATTTGAAATGTTCTCAAAACGACTAAAAAATCTGGCCAGCATTTTGCAACTAAATATTATTTCCATGGTCAGCAATCAAGAGCGATCGCTCCCATTTCCCAACCAAGCCTGTATGTATGTATATATATATATATATATATATATATATATATATATATATATATATATATATATATATATATATATGTATATATGTATATATATATATATATATATATATATATATATATATATATATATATATATATATATATATATATATAAATATATATATATTTATATATATATATATTTATTTATATATATATATATATATATATATATATATATATATATATATATATATATATATATATATATATATATATATATATATATATATATCCGCCCCCGGAATTTGGAAAAATGAGGTCGGCATCAGTTCGGATACTAATTTTAAACTGTTTGATGTAGTATAGTAGTAGTAGTAGTAGTAGTAGTAGTAGTAGTAGTAGTAGTAGTAGTAGTAGTAGTAGTAGTAGTAGTAGTAGTAGTAGTAGTAGTAGTAGTAGTAGTAGTAGTAGTAGTAGTAGTAGTAGTAGCAGTAGCAGTAGCAGTAGCAGTAGCAGTAGCAGTAGCAGTAGCAGTAGCAGTAGCAGTAGCAGTAGAAGTATTAGTAGTAGTAGTAGTAGTAGTAGTAGTAGTAGTAGTAGTAGTAGTAGTAGTAGTAGTAGTAGTAGTAGTAGTGCTCATTCAAGTGTGTTTGACATGAAACCCTTGGCAGCCATTGCAACCGAGGTAGTGGCAAGAAAGAGTCGCAGCACTTTGTTTTATAAGAATTATATAATTGTTTTATAAGTGTATGTCTTCTCCTTAATTTTGATCTATAATATTTGTTTCTGTTAAAAGAACTATATAGTTTTAAAATTTTTCTTTTATCTACGTGCCAGTGTGGCCGAGTGGATAGCGCGCCAAGCTTCCAATGGCAATTTTTTGTTTTTATGTTTTGCAATTGTTTTAAAATACACTTAAGTAATGCTTTATTCAGGGTTGTATGTAATATAAGTAAACTTTTCTAATAATTACAAGTCTTTTTTGCTCAAAATGTTATGTTTTGATTTTCTGCAGGTATGTATTAAATATTTTTGAAAATTGACAAGACTGAAAAAGCACAAAACAGCTTGTCTCATCAAAGTTGAAAATTTAAAACTTCAATTTTAGATTTGCCCCTCTCTTGATAGTTTCTAATTGCTAAAATTACTTCATCTGCTTCTTAGACCATTAAAAATGATATTTGAGGCTTTTTCATAAACCGTTGAAGCTACAATTTTTTGTGTATGTGACTTCACTTTGTGGCAAAAAACTAGAAAAACAAACTAGAAATAAGGTCTTAAATTAAAAAAAAAAAATCCTTCTATTAAAGATATATGGAATATATTTTTATGGGATATATCCTAATAAAGACAAAAACTATATTTTTATTTCTATTGTAATAATTAAAATCTCTTATCTGTGAAATGATATATCTGTACCAGTTTTATATATTTTTATGCAACTTAAATAAAATTGATAAAAAAATGTATGATAAATGCAAAAGAAACTTGGCGCATACAGGTTTATTTTGCCACAAACTGGCGTCAATGCACAAATTTTTTTTGCTTCTTTTTTTAGATTATTTTTAAATTAATATTATTCTTATGATTATGAATAATTTGTAATCATAATCATAATGAGTTTTTTTTTATGACTATGTTTTAGTGGTCTAAGATCTTCTTAGTTCCATTTGTATAGCGTTGCGTACAAATATTATTAAATTTTGTGTAGTAAATTAAGTATATAGAAAGTTATGAATTGGTGATTTTTTAGTTTTAAAGTTGTTCTTTACAAAAATAATGGTCATAATTTATTTATTACTTTGGTTTTTTAGATTGCTCATAGAAAGAACGTTGTTTAGAAATATAAATTTAGTTTAATGCTTATATTATCTTTATATGGTATAGTCGTGTTTAATATATCTATAAAATAAGAAAACTTTAAAATTTTATTTTAAATTTTAGAAATCTTTGTTGCTATATTATTTTTTTGCTATAAATATAGAAGCAATGTTAAAAAATTTTCAAAATTTATTACACTAAGAGGAGGTCTTAAACCCTCCAAAACAATGTTGATGATACCGTAGTTAACAACTGAGCTATCAATGAAATGCATTTAGCAGAAAAACAAATCTAATAAGTCTATTATAAGGTCTACATATGCGGAAAAGGTGCGAAAATGTTAATTTTTTTGCTCTTACAGTTTTTTTTCAGAACAAAATTATTTTACTAAAAAGTATTGAAGTAAATAAGGAATATGTATAGAAATTGTAGGTTTGGTAAAGACCCGTATTTTACGCATCCGGAAAGCTAGGAATTATAAGGAAAAAGTATAAAAAAGTTTGGTTTGGAATAGACTTACAAAGACTTGTATTTTTAGGGGTTCGATCTCAGCTAGTTATAAGTATTTGATGAAAGTATCTTAAGCATTATTTTTCAATCAATAATTTTTGCAACTTAGGCTGGACAGATATCAAAGATGGTTATAAAAAGTGGAAACCAACTACGATTGATCTGCTTCAAATAGTTTGATATAAAAACCTTGAATTGACTTTTTCTTATATTAATGTTTTCCTGTGGATTTTTTTTGTGCACTTTTGTGCACAAAAGATTTTTAAATTTTAAAGCAAAAAGGTTTTTAAATTTTAAAATGCTGTTGCAAGCTTCAAATTTTCAAACTTTCGATGGCATTTCCTAATGCCTTTTCTGTAAATGTGTTGTTTTCTATTTTAGATTTTTTAACAGTTTACTATTTAAAGGAAGTAAAAATTTTGTGCAAAATAATTTTTAATATTATGATTTTCATTTAAGTATATTCATATATAGGCTTATTTCAAACAATGAGATTATTAAAATGGTTAAAATGGTAAATATGGTTTTCAAAAAATAGTTAAAAACATAGTTAATCAAAAGAAAAGGTATTAAATGCACAAAAGTGATTTTAACTGAAATTTAAAACTTTCTGATATTTTAAAAGCAATTTTCTATACTGTTACATTCTTTAAAAATTTCTCTGAACCATATTTATAATTTTTGCATAAAATTACTACATGAAAATTGAGGACATCAAAATGAATAATGAAATAGTTCTGATTTCTTAATTTATTTATTAATTTTTAACATTTGTACAAATACAATTATAAAAACTCATGAGTTTTGAGTTTTTAAGCAATAAATTATTTATACACTTATATTTTTTAAACTTATATATTTCTATTTGTTAATTGTAGTAAAATAATTTAAATGATTAATAAATCATTTAACTTATTTTACTTGTTATTTGTTATGGGTTTAAATTTGTTGTTGTTGGTAGTGCAAATTTATATGGCTTTAATTTATTTCAATTCATGATTCAGGTAAATTATCCTGTTCAAGACAATCAAGAATTAGGTTTGTTGAAAATTATTTGTTTTTTATTTTTATTTTATTGTTATTTATATTAAATATATGTTTCTCTTTTATTGCTTTTCTAAGAAAAAATTCTTCTATGTTTTTTAACTTTTTAAGAGAGATTTCTTTTTTCTTTTTTTCTAAGATTTTTTTTAGAGATTTATTTTTATTGATTTAATTATATATTATTTTGATTTAAGTTGTTTGTAAAAAATAATATTAGTAATAATAATAATAATATTAGTAATAAAAAGACTTTAGACTTCATGCTTCTCTTAAACTAAATAAAATTATTTTATTAATTTTTTTAAGTAAACTAAAAGTTATGAATAAGTATTGTTTAGTCTCTAAGAGTTTTTTTTTAGAATTTTCTTCATACTTTGTCAAATTGATCACCTACATCTACCTTGTAATCACCTACATCTACCTTGTAATCACCTACACCTACCTTGTTATTTATATATAATTTTTTGTTTTATTTTTTATTCTGATTTACTCCTAACAAGGCTGCAATCAAACCACTATAAAGTAAGGAGTTACTAGAAAAAATAATAGAGTTATAGAGCAAGGAAACAGTTGATAGAAGAATTAAATAGTTGAAGGTTTTATTAAGTCAGGAAAACATGAAAATGGAAGAGAGTTTCAAAGGATTGAAGTATTGGAAAAAAAGTTGGACAAATAAAAGTTTTTAAAGCATGCAGGGACAGTTACAGTATAATAATGAGACTGATATATAACAAGTCAAGCAAGAATGAGTTTTAGTTGATGGAACCAGAGATAAAAGCTCCTTTCAGCAGCGGCCTTGATAGTATTTGTAGAAAAGAGAAAGAGATGCAACATTAGACAATGGTAAAGAGGTTCAAGCTTAGCAGATAGACCGGGTCTAACTACTTTTACAATGCGTTTTTTGACCTTGTTTAGAAGAGAAAGAGCATCATTAAAAGAACCAAGCCAAATATAAGAGTATTCCATACAGGAACAAATAAGAGATTTGTAAAAGTAGAGAATAAAATCAGGAAAAAGAAAATGGGGAGCACGATAAAGAAAAGCAGATGTTAATTTAGCAATTGATTGTATATATAATTTTCATGAAAGGTCAGTAATTATGATAATTAAAGAAGAGGACTCAGTGAAAGGGTTGCCATTCATCAATATAGGAATGTTGATAGTACTGTGATAGATGTTTGCAGTAAATAACTGAATTTTGTTAGAGTTAAAGTTTACAAGCCGTTGTAAGCCCCAATCTGTTACAGAAGTGAGATTCAAGATTGGCTGTCAGTTCTATTTAATTGAAAACAGAAGACTTTTTGTCAAGACAGGAGTATAAAGTTGAGTCATCAGCAAAAAAAGCTGTTTTAAATATAAGGTTGTTGGAAAGATCATTAATGGAGATAAGAAACAAAATAGAAACAAGGATTGAATTTTGAGGTACCCCAAAAGTTACTGAAGATAAAGAAGAGTGTTGGCCTTCAAGGATGACTTTAATAAAGCAATTAGAAAGAAACGGTTTCATAATCTCAAAAACTTTCCCAGATACACCATATGAAACATAAGGTAGGTTTCTAACAATAGTAAACAGGCATCTGTTTTCTGGGGAGCTGTTTTGCTGATAGGTATGAAAGTAATGGTTACGAATTAGAACCTGAAGCAGCACAATGATAGGAAAACCATGGTAAAGAGTGAGACTTGACTTGAAATTGTCTAGAGGGAATAAAGGACTCCAATGCAGCCTGAATCTAAGAAGTTACATTAGAAGCACATTAGCCAGCAAGAAAACAAAAGATTTCTACCCAAGGGCCATCACAAAGAAAATAACAGAAAGAGACCCAGTCAGCTTTAAGGTAGTTGTAAGAAGTATAATGATTAGAAGATGATGAAGAAAAATGAGATAATTGTTTTGGAGAGATAAAATCATGATCAGAAGCACCTTAGCATGAATATAGATAAACTGAGCACTGACTAGGATCAGAAACAAGACATAAGTCAAGTAGAGAATGTAAATGATTCAGATTGTCTGGAAAGCAAGGCAGAAAGTAGACTATTTGAGTTAAAGGTTGAGAAAGTTATAGGCTTTAATGCGTGTAGAGTCACTGACACCAGAGCTAAGCCATTATGTGTGATGAGCATTCAAGTCACTAACAACAACGACATTGGCTGAAGGTTAAAGAGAAAGAACTTGGTCATTTTGATCAGAAATAACATTGAAAAAATGTTCAGTCTTGAGATGAAGGAGAGCAATATAAAAGAAAGAGAAAGGCGATAGATTCAAGTGGTGCTAAAAAAAAGCACATAAAAAAATAGTCTGTGGATTTTAACCTTGTTTCCTGATAAATGGATAAATTTTTACGAATGTAGATGCCCAGGCCAAGCATGTGACTATTGGAGTCTTTACGAATTAATGGAAGATAACCATCAACACTAAGCTCACCAGATGAAGCAGCTAAACTTAAAGTAGTCTCACAAAGAGCAAGTAGATCTGGTGAACTTCGCATAAAATAAAGTTCAATAGAAGAAAAGTTACTTTGAAGACCATGAATGATAGATTTGGAGATCTTGGTGATGATGTTTTTTTATGTTTTACGGTTTTGGTACTTAAGTCATTTTTAATTTTGTTAGAGAATTTAACTCAAAGCACAGATAGTACTCAGTACACTATTAAATAGTCCAAGCAATTGCCTCATTAGTATTAATAAATTGGAACACTAACAAAGGGCCCCAAATGTGACCTCGACAATACACACCAAAAGTATGAACAGGGACACCAATGCGCGACATGGCACTTTTATTACTCTGATATTTTCCAGCTGTAGATGGAATCAGCCATGTAGATGGAATCAGCTGAGAGCTACCACAGAGTTCAAGAAACCTGACTACCAATTGGCTTTAGAACCATAGCACTTAGTTTTAGAGCTGTACTTTCATTAGGAGATAATAGAATGAGTTGCCTAGTCATAGAAACAGAGACACCATGCACAACCAGTGCAAAACCCATGCACTGAGTCAGGAAGTATTCCAGCATTCAAAATCCTTAACTGGAAACAGTGTATTACAAATACATTTACTAATAGATGAAGAAGGGGTGCGAGGCTGGTCAACAGATAGAACCTATTTACCCCTTAAGTCTTTCCCTAGGAGGCCTTCTAAAAAAAAGTAGCCAGATGCGTTTAGCACCTGCCCAAGATGAGTATTTTTATCGAGACACTATCTCTAGCCTTTACTCAACTAAGAGCCCTATGGCAGATGGTTTTTTTAGTCAGAGTTTTTTTTTTTTTTTTTTTTTTTATTTTGATTCACCTCCTCAAGGCCGAGAAGGCCACTACAGACGAGGAGGCTACTTATTTGTGGCTATAACCCTCTCTCAACTCTATAACTCCGAAACACGAACCTTGACGAACAAGGCCGCTGCGCGGAGAAACGAGTTAAGCGCGGTACTACCAGGGACGTGGTGGGGATCGAACTCGGAACCACTCGTTTATGAAGCGAGCGCTCTACCACTACACCACTACCGCAGTT